TTTGGAGCGAACGCTCTCGCTATTGATACCAAGAGGGAAAGAATGGCTATTCAGCTACGTTTTCGCTCCACGAGGCGTTTGCAACCCCTTTACCCCTGTGGCTTTTCTGGGTAAACGCTAGGAACTGCAGATCTCAGCCAACACAAACTCTCTACTACACCTGATGCAGGCAGACGCTTCAATGAATACCAAGAAGGAGGGGGAGACATACCAAGTTTGATACAAAACGTCACAATCAAGCTCGAGAGATACTCCCGAGAGGCACAGAGATCGCCCCACGTGGCGCGACTACGGGCGTTTCCAATGATATTACACAGGGGCGAGGTTCGCTACCACCGGCGGTTGTCCCTTGCATGGGTGCGGCAAACTTCGAACAGGACGGGAAGGATAGCACTCTGGGAGCAGATCACATCCATTTGTTTTCAAGAATGTTCGAAATCATATTCAAACGCCCATTCTCGGTTCGGCTGTTGGTTTGTTGCAACGACGCGGTGCTACTGCAAAACGGTGTTTTCCTGAACCACAAGGGGGATGCGCCATGCACGTACCCAATCTCCTCTTGATCTACCTCAGCGAGAACGCCATGTTTCAGCACGTCCAGTCCATGTAGTGCAGGTAATACATCACGGGGAATATATAGTCACGGTACTGCTTTCCAACGTCCTTACGAACATAGTCTAGTCTACACATGAGTTCCCGCTCTACAAGGGGCGCCGTTTGGTTGTGTCCACAGAAATCCGGTGACCACCCTCTTCCCTATGGGTTTTCAGAATCAAACGCTACGACAAGTCTGCTGCTAACCTCCAAGATGGTCCGGACAGTATCGGACAGGAAGAAGGTCAACCACTGTCCCACCTGAGAATTGCAAGAAACGGGGGATCAGGGGGGAGCGCACAAGCGGCCGGTGAAATCCCGTACAACGAATTTGAATGAGATCGATACACACATCAAGGAAACGAAAGTACGGCGTTCGCGGAAGTCTGTGAATCGATGATGTGGGGTTTGGTTGTTCACTCTGGAACCATCAACCTCTTCCCAATGCCTTCCCTCGATTCCAGGGGAAGACAAGCTCCGATACCAAGTCGCGCTTCTGTCCCCCATCCCCTGTTGCGTTTGTTTCGCAGTACGTGAGCAACAAAGACGGTTCAAGCTGAACCGCCCAAACCGTTTTGCGGATCAAGGACGGTTGACTCTCGGAAGCCCCCGTGTTGCTTAGACCAGACTAGCCGGTGACAAGGACCGTCTACCAACATTGTACCCGTCTGCGTCTTCAGCACCCAGGAGATACCGTCCGATACTCACATCTGTCGAGCCGGAGCTCGTGGCCTCCACGTGGAGGTCCCCGAAGACGTGTCCCCTGCTCGGTCCTTGACTGTGGGGAACGGTTCCACCTGAGAGCATCAACAACCGAAGTGTATGGTTTAGAGGGCGAACGAGATTAGCAGCCCCGTCTAGCCCCCAGACAGCACTCGATTGTGTAAGGACATCGATATTAATCGAATGGCATGTACTATCCAAAATGCTATCGCAACCTCCCCCGAACGAACATGGCAGAGCCTCCCGCAAGGGTATCGACCGCCCGGCGTTGCTGATAACAGCTGTCGGCAATGATGGCATATGCTTGTAGAACCGCCAGAACGAACAGAATATGCCGAAGGATTCCAGCATCTTCCCAACACAAGCCAACAGCCAGTAGCGACAGCGGCAATCCTACCTCTATCGTCGCCCCCCCCACGACGACTAACAACAAGCGGCAACAACAACAACTCCACCACCAAGAGCGGTTCATACCATTACAGGACGGCAACAGCGACGGCAACAGCGACAACAACAACAACCCCACAATGCCGTTCATCTCACCACGGGAGAGTATCCACCGATGGACCGCCATCAACCTTGTCCATGTCTCGTCCTCGTTGTCGAGGTTTAGCGACAATAAAATTGCCGAATGCCCCCCACGGCCCGCTCTCCTTTGTCCACCTCCTACAAAGCAAGAGAGAATGTGCCAGTTTTAGTGTACGGTGTGGAGGATAGCACTTCCTGCAACATGAAGAGCGAAGAACAGCTACGAATCGGACCTTGTCGTCGTTGTCATCATCGTTACAAGGGTGCGGTTTGGGTGGCGTCACTGCTGCTGTAGACTAGGTCTTTGATGTTTCATTCCCGATTCGTAGGGAAACGTGAGAGAATCGAAGATTTGTTTCACCTTGTAGAGACTAACGAACGGAACTACAGTAGTACCGGTACCGCCATTCCTCTCCAGAACGGGAGCGATCAGTCAGGAGGAGAATCGTCCCACTTGTTGTACAGGCTATTCCGCAAGGCATTTCTGAGTGCTGGGGCTATTGGTGTTGTTGTCGGTGTGTTCTGTGCCGCGGCCGTTGCTTGTGTTGGGGGGTGTTAGGTTTGACTCTGCTGCTGTTGTTGTTGCTGTTGTTCTTGACTATTTTCTCGTGGTGGCGGGGGCGGTGTTCGAAAAATACGTTGTAGCTTGGTGTGCGCAGGCCGTCAACAGTCTCCGGAGGTGCTG